TTCAGAGGGTGCTACAGTAAATAAGCCTAGTTTATTATTAAGATTCATGAAAGATAAAAATAAAGATATTATTGTGAAGGAAAAGTGAAGATTGTGTTGGTAGTCAATGTTTATTATTAACATTGACCAGAAGAAAAAAAATGCTAAAATATGAATATGGTTTGAATATTTTGGGTTAGGTTTTATTTTTCTACATAAGGAGGTATATATAGGAGTTTACATGAGTGTTTTACAAGGAAATAGATACAGTAATCAATTAGGATAGTATCTGCTAATTATATAATGATTTGTCAACTATATAGAATAGGAAACTCATGTCAACTAAATAAATCTCCTTGATTAATTAGGAAACTCATGTCAACACTTCTCTTCAAGTTGGTGCATATATGTCACCAATGCCTAACTTGGTAAGTGAGTCATGAAATATTCTGCCACAAACAGCTTTTGTTAAGATATCTGCCAGTTGATCTTCTGATTTTACGAATGGTAGGTGGATGATCTTCTTCTCATTTTTTTCTTTGATAAAATGTCTATCCACCTCAACATGTTTGGTTCGATCATGTTGAACTGGATTATGGGAAATATCGATAGTTGACTTGTTGTCACAATGCAACTCCATTGGCTTTTCTGGCTTGAAGCTCAATTCTGTCAAGAGTCTTCTAATCCACAATAATTTACAAACTCCGTAAGCCATTCGTCGATACTCTGCTTCTGCACTAGATCGAGAAACCACATTTTGCTTTTTACTTCGCCAAGTGACTAGGTTACCTCCACGAATGTAAAGTAACTAGAAGTAGAGCGTCTATCTGTAATGGAACCAGCCCAATCAGCATTTCTATATCCAACAACTTCAAGATCTCCATTTTTTGAGAACATTAATCCTTTCCCAGGGGCTGACTTTAAGTATCTTGAGATTCGATCAACTGCATTCCTATGAGAAACACTGGGCGAATGCATAAACTAACTAACCACACTCACAGCATATGCAATATCTGGTCTTGTGTGTGCCAGGTATATCAACCTTCCAACAAGGCGTTGGTACTATTCCTTATTAGTTGGTTCTTGGTCCATGTCTTCACAAAACTTGTGATTCATCTCAATGGGTGTGTCAGCAGGCTTACATCTAAGCATTCATGTTTCAGTGAGTACATCCATTACATACTTCATTTGAGACAGAAATATACCAGTTTTTGACCTTGCTACTTCGATTTCCAGAAAGCACTTCAGATCACCTAAATCCTTCATCTCAAATTCCTGAGACAAATACTTTTGCAACTTTAGTTGCTCTTCTGCGTCGTTTCCAGTTACGATTATGTCATCTACATAAACAATCAATGCAGTAAGTTTTCCTTCATCATGCTTCAAGAATAGGATGTGATATGAATTACTCTGTGTATATCCAAAATTCTTCATAGATTTGGTAAATATGTCAAACCATGCCCTAGGAGATTGCTTTAACCCATATAATGACTTTCTAAGTTTGCAAACTTGATTTTTCTTGTCAGGAGCTGAATTACATCCTAGGGGTAAGTCTATATATACTTATTCTTCCAAGTCTCCATGTAAGAATGTATTTTTGACATCAAACTGATGTAGTGGCCAATCGAGATTTGCTGCTAGAGACAATATGACTCAAATAGTGTTAATCTTGGCTACTGGGGCAAAGATCTCCTCGTAGTCTATCCCATATCTCTGTGTGTACCCCTTCGCCACCAATCTTGCTTTATATCTTTCAATGGATCCATCTGCTTAAGGTAAGGGCACGAGTTCCCATGTGACATTCTTTCAAAGAGCTCGCATTTCTTCATTCATAGCTTCTTTCCATTTTTGGTCTTCTAGTGCTTCAGTTACACTATTGGGGATAGATATGTCAGCCAACTGCTTCACATAATGCACACGTGACTCTGATAATCTTCTGAGAAATATATAATTATTGATGGGGTATTTCCCTTTGGCTTTAAAATCTACTTTATATTGTACTCAAGGTTTGCCACGGTTCTTCCTTTCTGAAAACTGATATGTAGGCTCTGTGCCTTCTGAAATCAAATCATCATGGGATATTTAATTAGTGTTATCAGTTTCAGGAAAAGATGTTACCTGAATGACTTCCTCAGCAGGTGATTGGTGCGGTACTAGAGCTAAAGCGACAAAATTTCATCAAATGGTTCAATTTTCTCCTGATTTTGACAATGTGGAGACAACGGATCGTTTGCTTCTGGCGACAGATCGCTGTCTGCTGGCGGCTGGTCATTTTGAAGAAGGTTCTCTGTAGTTGAAGAATTAAGAGGAGGCGACCGGTTGCTTTCCACTAGAGACCGGTCACTTTGATGTAGAGTGACATCCTCGAGAAAAAAAAATCGAGAATTGGAGTAGTGGTGGATTCTCGATTCTCCTCATGGGCTGTTGAAAAATATAAGTCATGTTCCTAAAACACAACATCTATAGAGGTAAAGACCTTCTAACTAGGAGGATGATAACACCGGTATCCTTTCTGATGAGGCGCATAGCCAATGAAAACATATTTTTCGGCTCGGGGATCCAATTTGCTTCGTTGGTGATCATGTAAGTGGACAAATACAACACAACCAAAAATTCAGGGGTCTAGGTTTGGGGTGTGAGGTGTTTGGATATGGTGGTGAAGTGTTTGAAGTGGTGTTTGGAAATTTAGGATACTAGAGGGAATCCGATTGATAAGGTATGCTTCAGAGAAAACGGCTTCGCCCTAAAAAGATCGTGGGATATTGGTACCAAAGAGAGAGGCAAGAATGACTTCCAATAAGTGTCTGTTCTTTTTTTCGGCCACCCCATTTTTTTGGGGAGTGTAAGGGCATGAGCGTTAATGTATGATGCCATGATCTTGTAAGAACTAGTTAAGATCATGGTGGAGAAATTCTCCACCATTGTCAGAACAAAGAACCTGAATTCTGGCATGAAACTGAGTCTCCACCATTTGATAAAACTGTTGAAACCTGGAACTGACTTCCCTTTTAGTTTTAAGAAGGGAAACCCAAGTCATGCGTGTGCAATCATCTGTAAACGTGGCAAACCATTGCGCCCCTGCCAGAGTGGCAATTTCAGCAGGTCCCCAAACATCGAAATGAACAAGAGAAAATGGAACCAAACTCTTATTTGAACTTAATAGGAACCGGACACGATGGCTCTTAGCCAATTTACACGTATCACACTGGAAGCTGGAAACATCAAGATTGGAAAATAATGATGGAAACAACTTCTTAAGATAATCAAACGAGGCATGCACAAGACGTTTATGCCATAACCAAATTTTGTCTCTCTCCCCATCAGAACGAGTTCCACTAGTTGTGAAAGCTTGGCCAACCTTGACCTCACTATCCGGTGCCCAATCCAAGTAGTAGAGTTTGTCTAGCCGAGTACCATAACCAATCGTCTTTCCTGTGAGGATGTCCTGAAAAACACAATGATTCGGCCAAAATGTTACAATACACCCAAAGTAGTAGTAAGTTGTGCAACAGATAACAAGTTATGGTCCATAGATGGAACAAGTAATACAGAATCCAGATATAGGGAAGTAGAGAGAGATAGAGAGCCCTCCACAACCACAGGGGAAGGGGTACCATTAGCATTAGACACCACTGACGGAGTAGATGTATGGCGACTAATAAGTTGGTCAGGATCAAATGTCATGTGATCCGTAGCACCCGAGTCGATAATCCATGCGGATTTTTGAGAGGACGTATGAAAAGTAGAACCTTTGGTGGTGGCGATAGAAGCATGAGTCCGGGTAGCCAGGTCAGCAGGATTGATCGCATGCTTCTGTGAGTTTGCAATAAGGGGGAGATTCGTAGGTGTTCCTGACATCGCAGTGGAAGTAAGATGTGACATGAGAATGTGAGGAATTGTGTTTGGAGGAATTTGATTTGAGGAATTTGATGTATGAATTTGATGGAGGAATTGGATTTGAGAGGTATGTGTTTAGGGGTTTTGATAAGAGGATTTGAGGACATTAGATTTGAGGGATTTGGATTTGGGGAAAAATATGAGGAATTTGATTCAGGGTTTTGGATTTGAATATAAGAAATTTGATATAAGGGTTTAGAGACAACATAGGATCAATTGCTCTGATACCATGCTAAAATATGAATATGGTTTGAATACTTTGGGTTAGGTTGGGTTAGGTTTTATTCTTCTCCGTAAGGAGGTATATATAGGAGTTTACATGAGTGTTTTACAAGGAAATAGATACAGTAATTAATTAGGATAGTCTCTCCTAATTATACAATGATTTGTCAACTATATAGAATAGAAAAGTAAATCCCTTAATTAATCAAGGAAATAAATCTCCTTAATTAATTAGGAGACTCACGTCAACATATATTATTAAGTTGAGAAGAAAAAAGGATAACTATGTTGGCAGTCATTATTTTACTACGAAGGGATCAATCATCATATTCTCCTTGGCTTAAACACTTCATTTACAATTGACATCTCAAAGTTGGAATGATTCAACAAAACAGTTTTTCCAGGAATTCCAAAATTTAAAAAAAAAACCGAGTCGAAATGGATTTCAAAAAGAGATACATGATATTAACCGGCTACTTGAGTTAGAAGCTTCTAGACAGGAAACTTCTGAAGCACTTATTTAACTGATTCAAAATGTTTGCAGGAAATACTAAGAGTGCCTTGACTAAGATTTCACATGATAAACTTGTAAAACAAATCCAGCTTGAACTTTTTATTTATAGTTATTATATTCCGAAAATTTACACATGATAAACTTGTAAAGCAACACTAAAGAGGTGGAAGTGCTTTACATACAGGAAGATTGAGCCATATATAAAGATCTAAAAGCAACTTCGGAGCATTTGCCTAACCAACTCAGATGCTGACTGCAGAATGAAGGTGGGAAGTATTTTTCAAGCAAACACAGAGTAACCAATGCATTTGCTTCCAACTTATATATATATATGCTGCAATTGATGCATGGACACAATCTGATTTCCTGTGCATGAAGTACATCTTAAATGGCCACGATGACACACTGTATGATGTTTATGCAGCATTCAAGACGGCTAGAGAAGCTTGGAAATCTCTTGGGAGAAAATATAAAACTAAAGAAGGCAATTCGAATTTTTGAAGACATGGTCTATCATAGAGTATCACCGAGTCACATTTCATTCGTTAGTGTCTTGGGTGGGTGTAGTCACGCTGGTCTTGTTGAAGAGGGGAAGATGTTGTTTAATTCTATGGTAAAAGAACATGGTATATATCCCAGAGTTGAGCACGATGCTTGTATGGTGGATCTGCTTGGTCGTGCCAATTGGTTCGATGAAGCAGCTAAAGTCATAAAAGATATGCGGATTGAACCAAGTGCTAAAGTTTGGGGTGCTCTTCTTGGATCATGTAGAATACATTGTAATGTTGAGCTGGCGGAGAGAGCAAGTGAAAGGCTATTTGAGCTTGAGCCTAGGAATGCTGGGAATGATGTACTTCTAGCTGCTATTTATGCTGAAGCCAAGATGTGGGATGAGGTAAAAAGAGTGAAGAAGCTTTTAGAAGCTCGAGAACTACAAAAGGTCCCAGGTCGGAGTTGGATTGAAGTTAAAAGGAAGATATACTCATTCATTTCGGTTGATGAGTTTAACCCACAGATGGAGAAGCTCCATGCATTGTTGACTGAATTGTCAACAGAGATGAAGGACAGAGGATATAAGCCGCAAACTAAAGTTGTCCTATATGATCTTAATGAGGAAGAGAAGAAACGAATAGTATTAGGCCATAATGAAAAATTAGCAGTAGCATTCGGACTCATAAATACCAAAGGGGGGGAAACTATTCGGATTTACAAGAACTTGAGGATATGCGAAGATTGTCACTATGTTACGAAGTTCATTTCCAAGTTCGCTGATAGAGAGATTCTGCTTTGAGATGTGAGTCGCTTTCACCATTTCCGTGATGGGGTTTGTTCATGTGGGGATTATTGGTAGTTGCAGGCAATTACTCGTGTCTTTCATTATTTTTCCCCTAATAACTAAAGGAGAGAGGTTTTTGAGGTTATAGAGATCTTAAAGGTGTACACTGTATAATAGAAACACTCTGTTAAAAATGTACATGTTCTTTGAAATCCTCATCAATAAATGGTTCTAATTTTATGATTCATATGGTGGTTATTGTAATTTTCCAACTCTATACTCTTTTTTGTACCTCTGATTTAACCCTGATTGTGGATTAATAAAGTCTTTCATTTCATTTGATTGAATTCAAGCAGGCCATAAGTTATTATAAAACAGATAATAGAAAAGTTACTTCATTTTAATTCAGTTTCAGTCAAGCTGAAACATTGGGGGCAAATGCAGACAAATATAGAAAGTCTGAACATGAACAATAATACTTTCACAATCTCTTTGGATAAACTTGTGTAATGAACAAGTTTGCCTTCAGTTGCATAGTTCAAACCTTGAGGAAGCCCCTCTCCTTGACGCTTTCAACAGTGTCCCTAAGACTTACTTCCAGTGGAAGGAAATTAACTCCCAAACTTTTTGCTTTTTCCTGTGATACTTGATATGTGGGTTCAGAAGGATTGGCCTCCTCATATCTGCCAACAATGAAACAAATAAATCTTTCCTTCCCTTAGAAATTTGTCATATTCGAAAAAGAAAATTGCCAATTTGTGGCATTTTGCAAGTTATAACTTACTTTTCAGGTGGGCACAGAGAGGGATGAAGTTCATGTAAAATCTTCAGAACCTTGGCCATGGGTGTAACATGTCCAACTAGACAATATCTTCCATTAGCTGAAGGAACCTCAAATGCTTGAACATGAGCTGAGGCAACATCTCTGACATCACTACATGAATAAATTGAACTGTTTACATCTTCAATATCTGCATAGAAAAGAAACAAACTTGCATCACAAGAATCATCTAACATCAAATGACTGACTTTAAATGTTATTTTGTTACCCGAACCAACATTTCATTACCTTAATGTTCGATAAACATACCTACTACTCTAAGAAAATGTTTTGACACTCAACAATCATTATGCTAGCTGCCTCAACTAAGTTAATTCTGACTCTCCATCATAGTCTGCTCTAACCAAGCAAAGATTGAAAAAGAAAAATCATATATGGTTGCTGAAGTGTACCGTTTTTGAAGTTGAGAATCATCTCCACAGTGATGTTAAGGCTTGGTTGTAAGAGTGGACCAATCACATAGGATGGATTTATGGTAACCAAGTCAATCCCATTTCCTTCAGCAAATTTCCAAGCAGCTTCCTCAGCTAAAGTTTTTGAAAGAACATACCATTTCTGGACACACAGAAGAGAAAGAAGTTCGTACTAAACCAAGATATACTTCCTGCCTTGTTTTACATACCTCAATGCAACGAATCACATGAACAACTGATTTATTATTATTATTTTTTAATGGCAAAAAAAAAAAAAAACAATTGAGATCGTTTAATTCATCGTTTAATGCAAATACTTAGACATTTTGAGCTCAAGAAGATGGACAAAAACTTGGAAGCTACTTCTGTAGAACAAATGAAGAAGAGGGGAGAATAAAAGGAAAGAAGAAAGATAGGATAATTATTCATCTCCTACATAATTGGATGCAGATACTTGTAAAGGTGACAAATTCATTCTAGTTAATGTCATGTAAATACAACAAATGAATATGAATTTCATGAATAAAAAGTGTAACTTGGAAGAAGATAATAAGCAAGGGAACCTACACACTTACCTTCAAATTCTCACAAACAAAAGGATCTGAAAACCATGTTTCATCCACCACCGCATCAGGGGTCAATGGTCTTCCATTGTATATGACTGCAGCCGTAGAAGATGTCAAAACTACCCTCTTGACGGTAGCGAATTTTACGCACGATTTTAGAACATTAAGGGTTCCCTTCACTGCAGGGTCAATTAATTCTGCCTGAGATTGTAGAGACAAAGAACCATTTCAGTTTCTGCATAAAAAAAAGTATGTAGATTCTGCAAAGAGGGAAATGTAATTTGTATCACAAGACACTTCTAGTCCCTGTAATTTTCAAACGGTTTCTAATTTGGTCAAGTAGCTCACATTAGGTTGCAATCAATCACAGTTTCACTTGTTCATGTTTTTCTAAGGGATTGGACTCGAAATTTGGCATTGTTGTAACCTTAAGGTGATCATTGTTAAGGGGCTTGTAGCTCAGTGGTTAAGAACATTTACCCTACACCTAAGGTCTTATGTTCGATTCCCCCCTTCCCCAATATCGCTTGTATTTTTGTATTTTAAAAAGGTGATCATTGTTATATTTAAAAATGTCCAATGGCTTGTCCAATCCCTTATCAAGAAGACAAGAATAGTCAATTAGGTTTGAAGTATTTATGAAAGTAAAGAGATGAATGCTAGAACCTGTGGGTCAGTGGATGAAAACATTACAGGGGATGCTGTATGAAAAACACCGTCACATCCATCAACTACAGCATCAAAAGATCCTTCTTCTAACAAATCTGCCTTGAACAAATGGAGCCTTTCTTTTGCCCCCTCAAGTGCCAATAAGTGTTCTGTTTTCTTCGGGTCATCTGTGGCATATGCATAATTACAAAAGTTTCTGTTGATGTCACATGATTATGGATGAGAACAATAATCGAAATCCAGAAGTTTCTGTTGATGTCATCAAAACCAAGAAGTTGAACATGAAAATCATCCAAAGAAAAACCTTCTTTCGGGAGAGAGAAAAAGGGAGAAGAGATTAAATAGTAGTGGCATATCTATATATATATATATATATATACACTGACTTGGGTCACGGACGGTTGCTTTGACAATATAAGCTCGTTCCAGTAAGAGCTTCACCAGCCAGGATGCTATGAAACCAGATGCCCCTGTTACGCACACCACCTTCCTTGCTTCGTTCATCCTCCTGATCAGAAGAAGCTTTTTAGTTGGAAGTTTTTGCTTCAGCTTTTTATATACTTGAGAAGTGAGCTGAATATTTTAGTTCGTGACTGGTGGTTTAGGGAGAGGGGGGCGTGTAAGATAGGTGAACTAGCTTTTTACTCTTTTGGGGCCAATAATACACGTCTTTAAAACCTCTGTACACAATTGCAAGTAGTTTTGTAAACCCTCCTTGGCCACTTTTTTTGGTTATATACTATTCACTTACCAAAAAAACAAAAAAAACAAAAAAAAAAGAACAAAACTTGAAGTCAAAGTGCATTAAATTTTTAAAATGAAAAAACGGATGAAGTTTATCCTAGATACGCACATTGTAACAAAATTTTAATTGAGATGACAAATCGATTCAAATTTTTTGATAATAAAGTGCAATAAAGCCTATAATGGAGATAATTTTTGTGACAGGATTAACCCTTGACTATATATCTTTCTTGGTTTTTCTTTTGGGTCAGGGGTTTTGATAATTATTTATGAGTGCTGCTAAATGAACCCTAAAATTAACTAAGTACACCCTACTACCAAACTATTTATTGAATTAATAATTTATCCTAATATAAAATGACTAAAATGACTAACTTGCTAGGATGTAACGAATTTTTGTATCTGGTCTCTGTTTTGCATTAAAGATGTTAAAGTTTGCTTCTTTTGGCTGAGGTAGAGAGGGACTTGCAGCAACTCATGATAATGGGGAGAATATACTTTTGGCTTAGCGGTGCACAATCAAGCATATATTTGATGAGATGAAGTTGTTGAAAGAACTTCAGGATCACTCGGGTTTCGTTTCCTTCCTAAAAACTCTACCTTCTTTGATTTGATTTTGAAAGTTTGAATCTTCAACGAGCAAACATCCAAGTGAATTCCAGCAGAAAAGCTCTTTCCTCGTCTGGTGAATTCCAGCCGATTATGTGGATTCACATTGTTCTTGTCATATATTGCAGGATTTCACAATGCAACAACAAGCCAAGAACTTATATTAGGGTGTACCATGAGTATTTTTAGTAATTAAACAGGGTGTACTTAGTTAATTTTATATTTTAATTTAAATATTAGGGTATACTCATATCATAGGGTGTACTCAGTTAATTTTAGAGTTCGTTTAGCAACACTCTTATTTATTCGTGTTGTGGTATTTTAATGTTGAACCCTTAGTTATTATTCTCTTGGATGGTTGAGTTGGATTTTTGGGCTTTCACTTGCTTGAGTTTTTCCCTTGGCAGGCAGCAACTTTAAAAAGTTTGGGAATTAATATATTGAGACCTAGTAGTACAAATGATTAAATGAGATGGGATCACACTAGTTAGTGTGGGTAGGTAAGTTTCTCTCTACGCGTGACGGATGTAGAGTTTGATGGGGCCACATGCTTTATATTATATGATTTTATTTTCTTCTGCAATTTATGCTTATACTCCATATATAATAAAGAAGGTGTGGAAAAATGTCTTAATTGTGTGTATGTGAGAAATTTCATTCATATCGCTTGTACTAAAACAAAAATAAAGAAGGTGGAAAGATGTACGTGAACTCTGTCGAGATTTATACATGTTATTGTGATTTTCAAACTCTATAGTCTTGTTTACACTCTTGTTTTACTGGGGATAGTAATAAAATACATGATTAATTCATAACACAACCAGGCCATATAAACAAATGAAAAGCTAATAGAAATTGTTATTAGAAAGCAGAAAAATTAAAGGCACTTTGGTTGGTGTACACCAGAGAAATGAAAAGTTACTTGGTTTGGTTCATTTTCAAACAAGGGTTTCTTCAATTGAGCTATCAAGGGCTAAAAGCGACTCCTGACCATTCTGGGCAATTGCAGATAAAAGTCTGAGCATGAACAATATTACTTTCACAATCTCTTAGGATAAATTTAGCAGAAAAAAAAACACTTGAATTTGGCAATACGCGATCAACTTGTGCAATGAGCAAGTTGCTGTCAGTTGCATAATTCAAACCTTGAGGAAGCCCTTCTCCTTGAGGCTT